AAACAGAACAACCAAAGTGCACAAATAGGTCACACAAAGTAATCATAAGGTCGTAAATAGTATATACCGTTTTAGATTCTCAGGATTTCGTAAGATTTTCGATCTTAGATCAATGGAATGTTCAACCGGGTCAAGTCTAGGTGTTCTAACAGAATAATCAATGCAACACGAAAGTATGTCAACAAAAAATTCAAATTTTCACGCAATGCAGTTTCATACAGTGACTAAACAACAATTAAAGCACAAAAACAATTACCAACTTTCAGTTAAAATTCAACACTTCAAATAGATATAATTCATAAATTTCTAGCACAAGCAATGCTATCACGCACGGTAAACTCAATCATAATGTTACCCCACATGATGACGCGCTAATGTTGAAATTTAAATTAGGATAAACGAAAATACCAGAGCGGACCAATCTGAGTCCGTAAATACCGGGATATGAGAATTTATCACTTTAGGGCCACCACTATTCGTCCTAAAGTCTCCAGCAATTGCGATAACCAATCGAGCAAAAGTTAAATCCCGAACTTGTAGGGACAAAATCGTCCAGATTTCACTATATAACCTGAAACAGAAAACTAACACACTAAATCGTTAAAAATCACATTAGAAATATTCTGCCTGAAGAAATTTATCCCAGAAGACGCTGGACGCATCTCCACTCACCGCCGCTGGTCGTCACCCCCTAGAAACTCCTCCACCCGTGGATCAAGATTCTAGTCTCCATTTTCTCAATCGCCTCCTGGTTTGGTCGGAATCGTCGATTGCAGGTCCCTTTTTTAGGGAAATTTTGGACAGTTTCGTTCCGGACAATTTTTGCTTCAATTTTGGGTGTTTTCAGATCAATTTTTGCCGAAAATCCACCACCAATGTGGCTCTGATACCAATTGTAACTGAAATTGATCTTTTGATTCGTGGAATCCAAGCTCAATTCAACTTACCAATATCAAACCACAATCAATTGACTCCAACCCACAACTACTCCTATCACTTTAGTTGCCACTTCTAATATACCCGTAAGGAACACAAGTACGGTGGTGTTTGCAAAAGGCAAAGGCGCGAAGAAGGAGATGGGAAGTAACCACAGTTTCTCTCTAATATATTCACAAAGCATACACTCGCTTCCAACATTATGAAAATGGGTATATATAGGTTAGTTTCGGTTACCAAAACTTTGGCCAATATTATCCAACAAATGGGTCAACACTAAGATAATTGGGCCAACACATTAAAATGATCATCCAAGAGTTATAGTGACCATGAGCAACATTAACTAATTAAGTTCCTTCCAATGGCCCGAGTTCTTTTCGGGTTGAACCTATAAATTGATTGTGTTGATAGTTATTTCAGTCATCGGCTGATGCCTATGAAATATATTCCAAACTATTTAACATCATTGCTCGAGATTTATTGAATATCAAAAACCCAAAACAAAAGGTATGAAGACAAGTCTTATTTTAGAGTGTCATAGTTTTATAGGGAGAAAACAAGCAGATTGGGAGCCCAAAAATATATTGTAATACTCCTACTCAATATAATATAATTTTGCGGTGAAATCAAGTGCTGGTAGCTTTGACTTTGAGAATGTATCACCTTAAATAATGTGTTTTCCCTTTGTTTTTTCTTCTTCGCGTTATTAATTGTTACCGTAACACCTTCATAGGATTATGCTAAATTGTCACATAGCCTTTAAAATGATCTCAGGTGGGAATTAATTGTGACATAAATTTATTTAGGTTTGGATTATGAAGGGTGAAATGTACTTGTTTCTGGTAATTTATAATTAGAGTGTCATTATCAAATGATTGAAATGGTATTATCAATGTTAATGTTGGAGAAGTTGATGGGTTAGGCTATAAGTCAACAATGGGACTGTATTGGAGAGTACAAGTTGATATATATGTTACATGTTACTCAACTCATGTGGTGTGATAATCTACCGGCAATTAGCGGTGGCAACGAGCCGAGCGGAGTCGAGCCCGAGCTTTTTTGGATCGAGCTTTTTTCGGCCCGAGCCGAGCCGGGCACGGCCAAAAAAAATGAGGCTTGGCCCGAACTTTCGGCCCGAGCCCGGGCCGAGCCGGCTCGGGGTTTTTTTTTTTTT